GTTTCAATGCACCCTTCAGGGGGCAGCGTAGAGCCTCACCTATGGAAATGATGAGTACAAGCACACATACACACACAAGGAACTCAAACACTTCCCTCATCCCCACTGGAGTGCTTTGCAAACAAGCAAGGGGATAATTTTTTTATACTAATGGCCAGGCGTGGAACCTCAGTCTTGAACTGCTGATTTGATGTGGTTTGTGTGTCACGGTTGAAGTAAATAAGTGGTTTTATGCCCTGTAAACTGTTTGCAGCGGAAAAATGGTGCCATTATAGAGGTGTTAGTGGATGTATCGTATCAAAGAGGTCTGCAAGGAATTTTGAGATGCAGAAACTTCCTGAAAACACTTTTCATACATCTCTTGTTTATTTGTTAACTAACAATGTCCCATTATATATATCTGTATACAACCATTATCACACATACATATTGAAATGGTTTAGGTATATCTCACCTTTTAATTACAGTAGATTATTATAGTTATAAATACAATAAAAATATATAATAAAATATTATAAATATCTTATTTTAAAATTGGTACCAGAGTAAAAATATAAAATGTTTAAATATTCATTTGAAAAGTCATTAAAAAAGTAACAAAAGCAAATGAGGTGTTCAAAGGTTAGCAAGTTTTAATGTGACTGTAATATAATACAAGGTTTAATAAATAGGTTTAATAAAAAAGGTTTAATAAAAATCATTAAAAAGAAAATCCCTGTAGTTGAAAAAACACCCATGGTTATCTTATGAATTGTAAATAATTGTAAATACTGCTGATAATCATATTTTTATGAAATACAGTATGCAGTTGAGGATGTAGACTGTATGCAAATATTTTATATAATTATAAATCTATGAAATATTTTATATACCAGCAATCATAAATTGATTTGAACCAGTGTTGTTTTAGTATCAATGATATAACATTATGGATTTTTGTAAATATTGTGAATTAAATTTTATTTTTATGTGTTCTGTTTTCATTTTAATTTTGGTTAAAGCTTTAATGTGTGTGCGTGTGTGTATTTTTTGTCATTTTTAGTTTAACAGTTATTTCAGTTTTAGTTATTTTAGTACTTCAACTTAAAACAAAATAGAAAACCGTTAAATTGGCAACTAGCTGAAATAAAATAAGTTATTATATAAAATAAGTTTTCTAAGTTTTATTTCAGTTAATGTTCAATTTATTTCAAGTAACGAAAATTATTTAGTAATTTTTTTAGGGTCCAGCAAAGAGCCAGAGCTCTTTTTTCCCCTACTATTTAGGGATTCATTAATGATAATAAGCCTGGTTTGAACGTCAAACTGGTCAACATTTTGATAAAAATGACAGTATGGGAGTGATAGAAGCTTCAATACATTGCAGTGTATCCTTAACCTTAATTAAGACTTCAACTGGATCAATAGTGTTAGCTCCATTTTCAACCTGCTATTACAAACAAAAGATTGACCTTCATCTCATTTAATTAGGGCCTTGGCATTGCGAGACTCCAGCTACCCACGCACTCTCTGGTGAAGATGAATATGTTTGAGTGTGCAGGCCGGGGGTGAGGGTTACATTGAACCACACCTGATGACTAGTACTTCCTGTTTAGTCCCAATCATGCAGGGCCAAAATGGACAGAAGGAATACAATACAACAAGTAGAGACACAACCTCATTTTGTCTTGCAACAAATGCAACTTTCTTTTTATTGCACAAAAGGTTATTTATAGTGGAAAAATGTTTTTTACACTAAGGAAACAATGGTTCTTTTAAGAAGGTTCTTTAAGGAACCCAAAATGCTTTGTCACCTTTTCACAATAGCCAAATGTTCTTTATTTTGAACATTTAACAACATTTGGAGGTAACCTACAGCTTCTTTGGCCCACAGTTTTAAAAATGAATCTCTGGAGTTATGGACACAGCAGGAACAGTCAGTTTCCTACAGCCAAATTTCAGGGTGAAATTAAACTCTGGGTCAATGAACAAACTGATCACTCATAATCTCTGGCTTTCACATCCGTTATATCAACTGGATAAAATGATTTGTCTTTCATGAAATTTAATTTTTCTTCCCAAAATATGAACCATTCGCAACTGAGCTTGCACCAACAGTTTCAACCACAGACTTCTAGATGTCTTCACCATGTCCATTCAAGAAGCAAACATCCCTAAAACTAAAGATTTCTTATTTGCATTCATGGTTCCATGAAGAATCTTTAAAGGGGCCATGAACTGCCTTTGTTTTTATTTTGTACTGTTCTCTGAGGCCCACTTATAACGTTATCAAGTTTTAAATCAAAAAACATAATTTAGAAGTAATAAGCTATTTTCTGTCCTGTTTTTAACCCCCCTCATCAGAACGCTCTGTTTGAATACGGATTGTAGACTCGGAAGAAAATGCCCACTGCTATGATTGGCTAATAAAGTAGTTGTGTATGTTTGATAGTGTACATTCCTCATAGATGGACGCTGCTGTGGTTTAGGTCAAAAATGCATAAATAATTCAATACATATCAAACATTCTTTAAGAAGAGACAAAGCAATATGAAATGAAAACAGTTACTCATACTTGTGTTGTGATATTATTGTCGGATTCAATATAGTTGGCACAGCATCGTCTTTTCGTTTCAATCTTTCTGAAAATCCTGCGTCGAATTGTGCCTTGTTTGTAAACTAATCCACTGTAAAATGAAGTGAACAAAGGACCGAGTTCTTACTGACGCAGTCTGGATCATTAAAAATAAAGTTAATCCACTCTTAACATTGGGATCAGAAGGAAAGCAATGCAAACACTGTTTTTCCACAACGTGGCACTGTACAGCATCTTGTTGTCTTCAGAGCCATCTTTATCGTTTGGTTTCAGCGTAGACCTGCGCATGTGCCTCTCTTGTAAACATTACATGAGCAAATTGGTGGGTGGAGCAAAACAGGTAGTGCTGTAGAAACAAGCATTGATCTTCTTCTGTAGAGGCGGTGCTTAACCACACTATTACATCACAGAGTAGAACATTCCAAAAGCTGTCGTTTTGGCAGACTGCCTTTAATACAAGCTGTTTTTACAGTAACAACAAAGTTTTGAGATCTGAAACTTACAGGATGTTACAATGACCTCTTATATGTCAAAAGATCAAAGGAATTTTGGTTTCTCAGTTCATGACCCCTTTTAACATCCATAGAATCTTTCCATTCCACAAAAGGTTCTTTAGATTATTCTATTTTCTTACTGTTCTTCACACTAAGAAATAAACGGCTCTTTCTTTGGGGAGCCAAAGTTCTTCTATGGCATCGCTGTAAAACCCCACCTATGGTTACATGAAGAAGCTTTAACATCCAGAGAACTTTTTCGTTGCACAAAAGGTTCTTTACAATGGACCAAAGTTATTACAGATTATTCATTTGTTCTTCACAATAAGAAAATTTATTTTAGGAACTGTACAATGAAAGGTTCTTTGGTGCACCCAAAATGGTTCTTTTATATGCCATTGCTAGAAAAGCCCCTTTTGGAACCTTTATTTTTAAGAGTGTATCTGTTAGCATAGTTTTTCTACAGAGTTCATAAAGCACTTCCTTATCTTTTCCTTATTCTCGTTTTATCATCGGGTGCTTCAAGGATTTATGCATCACACGCATACACAAGAACAAGGCTCGAACTAATCAGAATGCTATTTGCTAATTACTTTGTTTAATTCCTCCCAACTTTTAAATCAGTAATTAGCACAAATAATTATATATTAGAAGTGATGCACAATGGCATGGTAAAGTTTGTTCTGTTTGTTTTGTTTACTTTTCAGTTCTAGTAATTAAAGTGATATTTGAGTGCCGTTAGATGTACAACAGTCAAAAGCTTTTCTTGTTAACACCTACAGAGTCTGTAAATAACAACAGCAGTCAAATAGTATTAAAGACTCTACAACAGACAAAGTATGACATATAAAGTGTCTTTATAATTCCGTTAAAGGGTTTTCTAAGAGACATGCTGCATATTTTGAATGCTGTATATAAAAGCTGCCTTTATATTTTTAGAAAGGGAATCACATTATTAGCCTAAGTTCATGATAAGTGTTCTGTAATGAAGCTGTAACTTTTCAGATTCTCTAAAACCACAACTTTTCCTGCCCTTTTAGACTTGATTTTCTAGAGGCGAAAGTGGAATTACACAAACGAATTACATGCATCAGTAAAACAAGAAAACAAACAGCTGTTATTTTGCTTTATACATCTGAAATGTCAAACAAAAATAAATCAGTATATTTCATCATGGAATTATTAATTGCTGCATAATGAGCCCAAATTGAGTAAACATGCATCGACAGACAATCTGGTTTGTCTGTTACATGTGGCTCTCTATCACAGCTCTCATTAAAGACTTTGTTAATTAGCAGCTGGAGACAGTGGCTGAGGTGCGCACCATGTGATTTTTTTTCTTTTTCTGCCCTCTGTAGACTGTGACACCCAGGATATTTTAGATAATTCCCAGCACAATTAACAAACATCCACCAACTTTTCTCGCAACCCTTGTCACAATCACACATATGCTGCCAGATGGAAGTGTTTTGACTAATTTTGCCAATGTAAAATCTCACTATTTTGTGACATCCCTTTGTAATATGATTGTTGCATTTTCTTGTTTAGCTCAGTTCTGTATTTAAACAATACTTGTTTCAAAAAACATGCTTTCTATCAGGATTTCTGCTGATAAATAAAAGTATCAGGATTTAAGCAATTGTAATAATACACTGCGTATTTGTTCTTCTGAATTTCAATCTTTATGCATGCCCTATCATATGTTTCCACCCTTTGCAATCCCACATATCAATCAATAAATCTATTTTATTATACCTATAATTCCAATAACATGCGATTAGGAACAATTTTGTAATCCTTTTTTTATTATTATTCATGAAATTGTAAACTAAAATGAAAGAAACGCGAAAAACGTCTGCTTTAAATACATACAGAGAGCAACAAGCTGCAAACAAAAAGCCTCTTTGCTTTGAGCACGTCTGTTTCCACAGATACAGCAGCGTGTTTCTCTCTAAAGCGTCCGTGTAGAAACGTTTAATTCCTGAGTTCCGTCATCTCGAGAGCAGTGGGATATCAGAACAGAATTGTTGAGGTACAAACATGAGTACAAATGATTTGTTGCCCAATTTGTGTAGTTTACATATATATCTAATTACAAAATATGGCTTATTGGTAAAACATACGTGTTTCTGTCAGGGCGTTAAAGAGCGGGGCAAACGCTCACACGGGAAGCGGCATGGACAGGAAAGACCAACGCTCATGACAGCTGCATAGAAACGGGGGGGAAACTATTTATATTAGGTTATTAAGCACGACAGTTTACTTATACGATATCATTCTGCAGTATATATGTGCATTACACTTTGTATCGCATTGTATGCTGTTACGGTAGTTATATGTGGCGTACAGTACATCTTGTCCACTAACTGACTACTAAAGACAGTTCAAAATGTTTTAAACCTATTGACTATTAACTAATTATTGCTTTAAAGAGTTAAAAGGGGGGGTTGATGTTGTAAATAAATAGTTAGCAAATCGTCCTGCACGTACCTCTTGTTTTAAACACATAATTCATGCTTTAACGTGCAGTTTTTGTTTATATTCTTTAGGATTATGGTAGATTCCAGTGGCCCACAGAAAGACTGGTACTCAATACTGGGTGCCTGTCCAACAGATGACATTAAAGAACTGAAACAGAAGTATCAGAAGCTCATACTCATGGTAAGTGTTCAGCAAACTGTTTTAAACTTTAATAATAAGAACCAGTATTAATAATTGAGCAGCAAGTCAACATATTACAAGGATTTCTAAAGGATCATGTGACACTGAAGACTGGAGTAATGGCTGCTGAAAATTCAGCTTTGGCCATCACAGGAATACATTTCATTTTAATATGTATTCAAATAGAAACAGTTATGTTAAATTATAATAATATTTCACAATATCACTGCTTTACTCCATTTTAAATTTAGTAAATGCAGCCTTGGTGAGCATGAGAGACTTATTTCAAAAACATCATTAAAAAAAAAGTCCCTCGTGGGTTACTTTCAACTCACTCCTGACCATAATGTGGAGATTTGGTCCCATATATTACAGTCATGTAGACCAACAAACAGTTTTTCGAAACTTCTGAAATCACAAAATGAATTGCTGTTGTTAGTATTTTTGTTTTCATATATTGATGCTCATAGGTTTGAAAATCGTCTCGAAAAATGGTAGGCTTTGGAGTCAAAAAGACTGTGAGCCACTGCCATAAATGCTGTCAAATATGTTATTCAGTGCATGTCTACCAAGTTCATAGTGCTAAAATTCATACCTAGATAAAGATTATGCAGATTATGCTTGATTCTCCCATTAAAGTTTCCTCCAAGGGCAAATTGTTCTTGCTAAATATGAGCTTTGAAAACATATGCACAATTAATCAATGGCATCAGTATTTTTCATTAATACACATTGCTGGTTGACTTATCCCAGTCAAGTTATACTTAAGCTGATTTGTTTAATCCCAAACCCATTTTAATTACAGCAATCGCATAACACCAGTCGATCAATCAGGATGTGTGCCGTGCAATTTGTAGAAGCAGTTTGAAGAGTCCAGACCAGGGCCTTACGCAATATACAGCAGGAAAGTGATTGGTAATGAAATTGATGATGGTTTTAAAACTTCTGATCCAAGTCAAATGAATCAGTGTTGCATGATAGAAATGATATCTGTTTCTTCATATTATAGCTAGACAGTTGAACAGGAGTCAGTTTACGGCTCCAGAATCAACCACACCATTTGCATTACCAGTGTAACCTCAGGCTTAAACCAATCCATATTGCTGTAATACGGATTGCAGTTGGTCAGTGTCCTGCGTTCATTCAGTCTACTGTCAGATCAGCCTGACAGTAGGTGGCAGTAGTGTGATGGTAGTAGCCTTTGTGCCCCCTGTCTCCTCTGCTCCCTCTCCACTTAAGTAGAGAGCGGCTGCAGGCAGAATACTAGAGCCCAGCGGAGGATGTGGCAGTGCTCCCTTCGCAGCCTCTGAGAGATGATGATGTATTGTTAGAGCTGGCGAGTACTCCAAATTGCCCAGCCCTTTATATTGTGTTCCTGCTCTCCAAGCTCCATTAGCCCCAGTAAATGAATATTTTACAATGCGTGCAAAGAGACAGCAATTAAAGCGTGTAACTCCAGAGGGCCAGGAGGACGGGCCGCTCTAACTGAGCACCAGCCTCTCGTTGTGTTATGTATTTATGACAAGTACCTGAGCCACGCAGACTGGAAGTTGTAGAGTGACACCATAGGAAATGTGTGATTAGTGTTTGTAACGTCAGAACGCGTCCTGAGAAGACTTTGGAAAACAGCATAGTAAGCATTAATGTTCAAATCTAGCTAATGTTTTCAGAAATGTTAGTGATATACACTAAAAATTGGGTGTAGAAATGATTTTCATTAGAAAGTAACTCATTGAATTAAACATGACATTTTGACTGAAATGCTTTTTTCTTGTAAAATGTACCTCAATAATCTTTTTTTTATTTTATTTTAAAAAGATGTGCCCAGTTTCTGACAGAATTATGTATAGCATGAAACATTTTATATATTTTAACATTACAGCTTTTCAAAAGTTTGGAAACATTAAGATATTTTTTTTAAAGAATTTATACTTTTTTCAGCATGGATGCATTAATTTGATTAAAAGTGACAGTAAAGGCATTTCTGATATTATAAACTTTTTTTTCTGTACTGCTGTATTTAGACATTTATTCATCATAGAATCTAGAAAAATAATATTAATCAACACAACTGAGCAGCAAATCAGCATATTAGAATTAATTCTGAAGTAATGGTAATGATGCCGAAAATTCATTGTCCTCATCACAGGTGTAAATGGCATTTAAAATGTATTAAAATAGAAAACAGTTATTTTAAGCTGTAATAATATTACAGTATTACTGTTTTGATCAAATAAATGCAGCCTTGGTAAGCACAAGATAATTATTTTAAAACCATTAAAACATCTTACTGACCCCAAACTTATGAACAGTAGTGCATGTAATCAATTTATTGTAATCAATTTATCTTAAAAATGTATTAAATAAGGTTCTTATAAAAGGAAACGTTAATAAACCATGCCTAATACAACCAGGAACATTTTTACTAAATAAAATTTTGCACAATTTTTAAGTTTGTCTGAGCAATTAAAAAATATGCATACATTTTTCTTTATAAAAAAAATGTGGCATTTTTACATTCAGCCCAGCATTCCTTCATCTTTCCATCAGACACTAAATCAAACGCTCCGTTACGACAGACCTGAAACAGGGATAGTCTATTTGACAAAAGACTACCCAGGGAGATGTTTGTGAAGCAGCGGTATGTGTTTGCCAGGGCTAAGCTGCACTTCACACCTGTGGTCCTGACTCCTCAAGCTCACCTACAAAGAGTGGAGGAAAGCAAAACCCTATCTCCAATTCCACCACTGGGGAGAGAGTCTAATTCTCTGGCACAATCTGGCATCCTGCTGGAGGTAACTGAGAAATTGTGCTGCCAAGCTTGTGCGACCATTCTCAGGGTTCAGGAACAGAGCTGTTTTTCTGTTTCTGGTCTGGCTGAGAATAGAAGTGGACTTTAGGATGGGTGGTGTTTCAGATTTACCACAGAAATAAAAACAGCATTTCTGATATCTAAGGATACATAAGGGTTTGGTTTCATTTGAAATGTTTTCAGTTTAGCTATTTAGCTTTGGTCATTCTCTGATCCTCTGATCTGAAGCGTCCTAAACACAGATCGATTTAATCCTCTTAGCTGGTATCCTGTGCAGTTCCTAATCTTAATGTCTTTTTTACTCTGGTACTTTTAATTAAACTAAGATTTGAGTGAAAATGGATGCTTTCTTGCATTTTACCAACTTGAAATCCTCCGTAATAGCGGCATGTGAAAGCGCTAATACTGGAGTGAACTCGCTCCCAAAAGCCTTCCATCTTTTGGATGGCACCAATGAATGATTTACGTCAATATATTTAAGGTTCTTTCAGTTAGAGCTCATCAGCCCCTCTTTTTCATATTCGAGGCGGCTGAGCGCTTGCCCTCTTTCACCCGCACTGTGATAACGCCAAGAAACGGTTAATGATTCTCTCAATCAGGAAGTTAATTTTTGGCTTGTTGCTGCATTTGCTTTTCTCGTTGCATTCTGACCGCCCATTAACAAAGTGAAAACAACAACAAAAACACAAACAGAGAAGGGGGGGATGAACGGGAAACAACAGAGAACAAGCGCCCTTAAATTTTAATTAGTTTTAAAGGTAATTGCTTGAAATGATTAGTTGAATTCAGTCTTCCTGTTACTTAAAATTAAAAATATAATCACTGTGGACAGTAATTGGCTTGCCCCGGATTGTCGGTTATTGTAGCCCAGTGTCACCCCATGCATCATTACCCGACTTTGGCGGCGTTGCAGCTTCTGAACTATAGCGACCATACAAAAACACAAACACACATGCAATGCTCTGCTCGCCTGTGCCAGAGCATAATCAGAGTTTGGTTGAATGCCTGCTCGAAAGGATCTAAGTTGTTTTCCGTTTGCCCCTCTCAACTTTGCTCTTCTCCAGTGGGCGAATGAAGAGCCCCGCGGCTCGGCTGACCCTCGACCCCCACTAATCGATAGCTCTGTAGATTCCTCAAGGAGAAGAATAACTCTATACTGTAAGAATCCATCCAGGCTGGAAGGGACTGTCAAAATAACCCCTAAAGCTCACTTTTGGGGGCTGCATTAGACTTCTGGGTAAAAAAAAAGGAAAAAAAAGTAAGCTGTGATGTTATGGTACAAACTCATATTTTAGGATGCGAAGTGGAGATCGCATTAGTGTTTTTGGCTGGAGGAAGGAGGCACCCTTTGCCCTTCTAACTATCCACTCGGTCTAGCCTCATCATTGAGAAGACACATCTGTCCTAACTGATATATATTTTGCCTTTTTTTGCACCATTGTCCGTATTAGTATCCATGCTCTGCCTTCACTGGTAAATTGTTCAAAAATTGCAAGGCTAGTCCATCAGCAAATTGCCCGTAAACTTCCGTCAACTGTCGTTTTGTTTACATTCTTCTAGTCTATCTTTTGTATCACCAGTCATATTGTCAGTTGTGATTTAATTAAACATAAATGTCCATGTGCAATAGTTTCAGTAAAGCATGATTGTCATCAATCTCGTTGCTCAATTTTGATTGGTAGTTTCACCCGGACAAGCAGAGGCCGGACGTATCAGAAGGTGAAGCGGAGCAGCACCTGCAGAGATTCATTGACGTTGACCAAGCTTGGAAGATCTTGAGTAATGAGGAGAGCAGGAAGGAGTACAACCTTCAGCTGCGGGGTATGTTCCCACCTGTCTGTCCTCTCATGGGCTCTCAAGTATTGAAACCATACTAGACTGAAGAGATTTGGAGGAATTAGTTGTTTAGATGGGCTGTTTTATTGAATTTCATAAAGGCTCAGTAAAGGCTTTTGCTAAGCGACCACGCTTGTGTTTTTTTTTTTTGACTGTTGAATAATAAAAAAAAAATGGGCAAATGGAATTGCTAATTAATCTCATAGCAACCTCCCAGAATACTTTAGCAATTTTGATTTCATCCACTTTTGAAAGAGTACTAGACAATTTTTGAAGAATTATGTTTAGATATAAGGGCTTCACTTTACTGAATTTTGCGAATGCACAGCCAAGCATTTACTCTAGATAATAATGTAAAAATGTATCATTCATTTCTGTTCGTCATTGTTGATAAAACTGTATTAAGAGCATAAACAAGATTTGTCACTAGCCCTTTGGGACAGACAACTAAAATTGTCTAAAATATTTAAAACGCCAAAGGAAGGAATGAAAACAGAGCTATTGTCTTTGGTCTGGACAGATGCTTCCTTACAGAAGAGGATAGCGAGAACTGTGGGTAGTAGAGGAGGAGGGAAATAAAGAGAGATAGCGATAGAGAATGTAGGTCAGGTCTGTCACACATGGCCAATTCTTACATGAAGTGATAGTCTGCTTCTCTCCTCTCTCGCCTAAGGAAAAAGTTCGCCCTAGCCCTCCATTAGGACCTTCAATAAGTGTACATCCAGGGTCCTGTGCGCCATTAACTGGGGAGCTGTGGCATCGCCTTTGGGTGGGAACACTTTGCGCAGCTACTTGCTAACATAGATCGCCACAGCCACAGAATTGACATTTAGAGCGCATCCACAGAAAAGCCAGGCCTCGTCTGGGCTGCACATGCAGGAGTGATGGAGTTGACCTCTTCAATTAGATGCAGTGACTTTATTTCCCACATCAGACATGCTTTGTTTTGACTTCATATGCAAGTGTTAAATAAAGGTTTGCCTTTTAATGCTCATTTAAAGTTAAAACATAATAACAGATGATAGCCTAGTGGGCAAGTGCACTGACATATAACGGCGTTGCGTTACGGGCGTCCCGAGTTCGAATCCGGCTCAAGGACGTTTCCTGATCCCACCCCTTCTCTCTTTCCCACTTCGCTTTCTGTCTGCAAAACACCAAAAAAAAATCTAAAAAAAAAATGAAAATGACAAAATTAATATTACAGTATAATGTTATGATGCCTTAATGCACCATTGTATTTAATTTTTCTGCTGATTTGATTTTTTATTTATCAGGCATTATAGTATAGAATTTTAACAGTGACTACGATAGCCTAGTGGGCAAGTGCACTGACATATAACGGCGTTGCGTTACGGGCGTCCCGAGTTCGAATCCGGCTCAAGGACGTTTCCTGATCCCACCCCTTCTCTCTTTCCCACTTCGCTTTCTGTCTGCAAAACACCAAAAATAAATCTAAAAAAAAATGAAAATGACAAAATTAATATTACAGTATAATGTTATGATGCCTTAATGCACCATTGTATTTAATTTTTCTGCTGATTTGATTTTTTATTTATCAGGCATTATAGTATAGAATTTTAACAGTGACTATTAATTGGTTTTCACTTATAACATGACAGTAATTTTTTATACATAATATCAGTGCATCCTTAGAAGAAAAGAGTCTGCGCAGATCATTTAACATAAACCCTATTGTTGATATTTTAGTCTAAGGGGATATTAAAAATAAGCTTGGCTCTCTACTCAAGTCTATATGGTCTGCTTTAATTACATTTGGAATTGATTCTGGCCAGCTCAAAGGATATACTAATCCCCATCTAACTTAAGTAGCTTGCCCTGCAGCCATTCACTAGACGTCAGTATTGACCAGACATGGTTTGCTGTCAAACACTTTGGCCTCTATTTAAAAGGCCACGTCTGATTGGCTTAATCTTTCGCAGTTACAAAATATATAGTATTTATAAATATTCATGCACCCTTCTTATCAGAAATGTATTCAGTCATTAATATTCATGAGTCTTATTCATGAGATATGAGAAGAAGATAGCATTTTACTTGTGTTTACTGTCATAGGAGAAGTCTTTATGCCTCTAATCAGTTTATGCATCTCTGATTTAATGACTGAGCAGAAATGCATCAAGGGATAGTCATGCATTTGTTACTGGAGGTTATTCTGGGGTACTCTGAATAGTGTGAGGTAATTAATTGAGTTGTTGGGTTGCATAACTGAAGTCTTCTTTTCACTTCCTACTTACCGTTTTAAATAAAATTTTTGCTTCATTTTATATCCGAAAGAGATATTTTTGAGGTAAATGGGAGACATATCAGACTACTCATTTCAACAACGGAGCTCATTTATTTGTCTCATCAAGTTCTTTTATGTACCTGTAGGGAATGAATGATGGAAATTGGTTGCAAGAACTGAAGTGGCACCTACTTAGGACATTCCTTTAAACTAATTAAAAGAAAGCATGATAAAACACTGCACTCAAACCTGTTAATTGCCAGTATCTCAGACAGGCTGCCAAAAAGGGACAAGAATCGTTACGTGGAAGTGTCGAGATTCCTCAATTCATTATGAAGCGATGTGATCTAATTTCATTCTCGGCCTCTTGACAATTAATTGTCATATTGCACTTTTTCACACACAGGTTTAGTTTTAAATTCACTTATTAGCTGCCTTTAAAGCAGTGCCTTTTGAGATGCCCAGCATTCCCTGCTTGAATATTCAATGAATATTTTAAGACAACTCATTTGTGTTTATTCATAGCAGCAGTAGGAGACATGAAGGCTTTGCGAAGACACTCTAAATGACCTCAGATGACTTTGCGGCTTCCCTTTTTCTAAATCTCTTATAAGTGGAACAGCGGCCCACCTGTCCTCTGTGATTATTGCTTAAATATTTCAACAAGCAAGGATTGCTCTGGAAACTTTTTACAGATGCTTTGAATCTTCCCGACACTTTTTCTTTGCTGCAGGAGCTCAAAGTTTCCGGGTGTGGCCTTTTTTTTTTTTACAAAAATTCAAAGTGGTAAATGAAATGTAGCTTTCAGAGTACATTGAAATATAGACCCTAGTCAGGTTAGATGCCATATTGAATTTAATATTAGGGATGGGCATTCCAAGCAAAAATAATATTTGAAAATCGCTGGGTATTATTCGATTATTATTTGAAAATCTCACCCCTCCCCCACTTGCACGCACAAACACCCATGAACAGGGAGAGGGACGGGATTCATGCTTTCAATCTGTATGATAAACTGTTTAATTCAAAAGATAGGCTACCTTAACTCAAGCCATAATGATTGTAAGGTGCTGAAACATATTAATATAATAAACATAACCGAATGACGGCACTTGTTAACATAACAGTCAGTCGATTAGCATAAATCAACTGCTCATAAGGCTAGGACATTTCCATTTAAAAAAAATGTAATCCCTAAAGGCAATAAATACGAGATAGGAGGAAAAATATACAAACCCAATTCCAAAAAAGTTGGGACACTGTACAAAAGGAATGGAATAATTTACAAATCTCATAAACTTATATTTTATTCACAATAGAATATAGATAACATATCAGATGTTGAAAGTGAGACATTTTGAAATGTCATGCCAAATATTGGCTCATTTTGGATTTCATGAGAGCTACACATTCCAAAAAAGTTGGGACAGGTAGCAATAAGAGGCCGGAAAAGTTAAATGTACATATAAGGAACAGCCAGGGAGCCATTATTAATATGCGGGGCATTGAAATCGCTTATGAACGCACGCTTGTTTTTTTACTTTCACTTTCGAGCAGCACTCGACAGTACTTACCACATATTTTACAAGATTAGATGTTTGTCAGTGGTGCTCAGGATCTGCAATTCATTCACCATCATCCTATCAGTCATCTTTCCTTACTCTGTGGTAAGTGAAATGTTATGTGCTGTAATGTACCAGGCTACCGCTAGCAAGCGGCTAACCATGACCTTTTAGTGGCTCCGTAGAACGCGTTATTTGTTTTCCGCACCTTTCTGAATACGGATTCAGCCACACCTCTAACCCACGGGGGTGTTTGTGGTGTGCACAGGGCTCGTATTTGACATCGTCCCAAGTTACTGTAACCGTTATATGCTACGCAAGTCTTTTTTTTTAATGCCACACAAGTCTACGTTGTGTGCGTGAGACAATGTGTCGTTCTGTTGTCTGAGACAGCTTTTTAGCACCACCCTCTGCTTACATGAATGCGTCACCACCGTATCAGCATGGAAAACATGGGGACATTTTTTAAGACAATAATCGCACAACCTATTCGATATTCTATAATCAACTAATCGACTATTCGAAAATCGTGACCCATCTCTATTTAATATATTGTATTAAAGGTCCTAGATCATGTAATTTTCACAACACACAACTTTCAAATTGTTTTATGGAGTTTTTGTCCACTGAAAGTTTTTTTTTTTTTTTCAGCTGATGAATCGGTATGGTGTTAAAGGCATAGTTCCGAGAGCTCTCTGACCCTCCATAGACAGCAAGGGTACTACCATGGTCAACGCCCAGAAAGGTAGTAAGGACCTCACTAAAATAGTCCATGTGACATCAGTGGTTCAACCTTAATTTTATGAAGCTACGAGAAAACTTTTGTGCCTTGAACATGGTAGTTGCATTACTGTCTATGCAGGGTCAGGAAGCTCTCAGATTTCATCAAAAATATCTTAATTTGTGTTGTGGAGATGAATAATGGTCTTGGGTTTGGAACGACATAAGGTGAGTAATTAATGACAGAATTTTAATTTTTGGGTGAACTATCCCTTTAAAAAAAGAAATGTACATCCATTGAATGCCCAGCCTCATTTTCGTTTCTGTCAAAAATGTAATATGGCACTACCTTGACTAAGGTCTATTTATTTCTTCTTATTATTGGTGTATTAGCCATAATGTATTGCATTCCCATATGCTATGCTAAAATGTGGTGCTGAAATGACTTCTTAAATGGCTAGTTCACCCAAAAATGAAAATTAGCCTGTGTTCAAATGTAATAAACACTTTTCTCACTTCCACTGACTGTGGTACGCAGAATACATGCAGAAGGATGACGTAGGACGTACGTAGGAGTAAAACACAGGCTAACCCTTTAAGTGGCCCTTTAGGAAATATTGGTTTGTTCATGATAGAAAAATAGCATATTCTTTCATTGCTTGCTTCATACTGGACTCAAACATCAATTTGACTGCATCTTTATAGTATGTTTTTCTCTGCAGCAAATGAACTGAAACAGAGCTGGCCAGTGGATGCTCATATAACCCTCGACGACATGAACTGGGATTGTGGTTAGTGCTCTGTTCTCATGCAGTTTACTGGTTAAATTTCAGTCTGGGTTATAATTACAAAGCATCTCTTCTGTTTCAGACACTGAGTGTTATACGTACAGCTGCCGCTGTGGAGGAGAATTCATCTTAGAGAAGGATGACTTAAAAGAAATGGAAATGGTTGTGTGCTGCGATTCCTGTTCGCTCAGCATTGAAGTTAAGAAGGTTACATGACACTTTTGGATATGTTCAGCAAGATTCTAATTGGACTGTTATTTAGCTTTTTAAAATGGCACATATTCTATGGACACGGTTGATTTAACAGGAAGTCAACCCCATTCTTAACTAAATGTGGCACCAATGAGAAAGTATTTGTTAATTAAATATTTATTCATTAATTTAATAGACATTACTTTTTTAATGCTCTTTTAATGTCAGGTCAAGTCACCTTTATTTATATAGCGCTTTTAGCAATACAGATTGTGTCAAAGCAACTGAACAGCATTAATTAGGAAAATAGTGTGTCGATAAAGCAAAATGACAATAGTAAACACTCATTTTTCAGTTAAAGGCAGTACATCTTTGAACTGATTATCATTAATGGTCTCCACATAGATGTTCAAATCAACTACACTGTAAAAACCTTCCCATTATCCATTTCTTTTCTTGTTTAAGAGCACAACATTTTCACTCACATGTACCTTACAGCAAGTACATCACCAAATAACCAGAACTGGTTTCCAGAATTGGATCACACTAGACTAGACTTTCTGAGTGTCTCAGAAAGCCCTTTGGTTGTTTCCTCTGAGCTAGACGTGCTCTTTTACAGACCAGACGCTCACCACAAGGGAAAAAAACTTTGTTTGTTCACCAGCCCCCTCCTTTCACTCCCCCTGTGTTTGAGAGGACCAGGCGGCTTAGTAACATCTTAGCTCTTGTCAACTTTGTTTGCATGTAAATAAATGCACTTTTTTTTCCTCCTCCGACAATGAAGTCACAAACTGCCTCCACACATCACTGGTCGAAAAAGGCCCTCCAGTTAATGATGAGCTTTTCTTTGCCTTATTGTTCTCCGGTCCACTCAATTTGGGGGGGATCCGCAAGGTTGTGGCACTGGAATAGGGTCATGGCTTTATTAAACTTCAAACAGTCATTAGGCTGTTTGCTAAAATCTGCCGTCCCACAGTAGAAACAGCTTGATCGGGGCAAAACCACGCTTTTCATCAATGTCCTGAGGCCTGAACCGAGGCTAGACCTGCCAGTGGACCGGCAATGGACCGAACTGTAATCGACTGTGACATCAATTACGGATAATCTCATCACTTTTGGAGAGTGGGCTTGTCAAAGCTCTAATTAAGTCCTCGGTTCCCCCTATATGTGCAGACAGGATCAACAACACATTATAGTGCAATGATAGACATCATCATTCTATTTTTGAGGGGATCTAACTTTTAACCTAGCGTACACTTGTGGGTCTGGCCGTGCAGTAAGGCTGCTGTGTTCATTTGAATGATTGTCCCTTTACATCTGTGTGTATGACTGTAGATGATGCAAAACAAATTATAATAATTTGCATGGTAATGTTTTATTTAATGTTTTTGTCACTTCAGTAAACTTTGTTTTTGGGGTTTTTTTATAACGCCGGTCAATTATTTCAGTGTTTCATAAAAATAGATCAGATTTTTTTTGTGTATAGTTGTGGGTTGAGAAATGAGAAAACGGTTTTGTTTTTTTTTTAATTGTAAATAATCTTTTCAATGTATATTCTACTGGCTAATGCAATGTTTTCTACCAATTTTTTTTACAATATTTAAAATATTAATTAAAATGTATTGCCATTACCTCATCAGGACAGTGTGTGCAGTAGGAGTATATAATTGTAATTTTGTGGGGGGAAATGACATCATAAGCTATTTAAGTGGAACCTCGGCTCTCTCTTATTTTGGTGACCGTTCTCACGTTATTGTCCCCATTGACGTCTGTGTGAACGGTCACCTGAAACCTTTGTCAAATTAAGCAAGACTTTCACTGATCCTGGTTCTTGTTCACAGGTAGTTTTTCCTTTAATGCAGAGCCTTCACTTTTTTTTTTAATGAACTTTAATCACCTTTTTGCCCTCATGGTTTCACATTTAATGCAGACATGATCTCAGTTGCACAGAAGAGGAAACCTTCCTCCATTTTTCAATTCCTATTTCAGTTTAAACCTAATGGCTTCCCTGTTTTGGACCAGGTTCTACATGCCTCTCAGATCAAAAGTGTCCAGCCAAATTTTCAGAGGGACCAGCAAGAGTTACCTTTTGGGAAACCTTGAACCAGATGGCAGAGAACATAAGATGAAAATATCTCAGTCCATTAGCCTTTTAAATATTCATTTTTATTGAAATGTAATAATAATAGTACATTTGTATTATTGTAGATCTGCATTTACACTTTTACAGGCGTTTATGTTCCTGTTGATATGATGATTGATAAGTAAATCTGCCCCAAACACATGCTATTGATTTATGCAGAAATTAACGTTTGTCCACCCAAACAAACTAGAGCAATGTTTTGAAATTATAACAGTGTTTAGACCCTTCAGAATTAGATTTTTGTTTAAAAATTACACTTCACCTTAAAGGTTGTATCATTTTCCTCTATTTTTGGTGGATGAGCTCTATTAAAGATGTTTGCGGGAAGCTGATGGCTCTATGCTTGTGTTGTGGTTGTCTGGTTTGTTTATGACTGGGAGTCTTTCAGAGAACTAGAGGTTTACTGCCTATCCCATCATCCTATCCATTCAATTGGCAATAATGCTAACAGTCCTCATGCAATGCTAGACCCCTGTGGTGTGTGTGTGTGTGAGAGAGAGGAAGAGAAACTGACCAAGTGGGATGCAGTTCTATTAAGCCAAAATGTAACCTCTTAAAATACCTATGAAACATTATAGGTACGTTTTATTCCGGATTCCGTGGTTATTTTTTTTATGTATATATTTATTATTTTTTTTTGCTGTAATGTGTAGAACTGAGCTATGTGGTTGAAATATGAATTGGTGTTTGAATCATGACTGTTTTCTTTTAATGGCTATTTACACATTTGTTGTGAAAGCAGTTACCAAGGGGAGTCACAATGCCACAGCGTCCCCGATGTGCTCATAGACTGAACAAGTGACAGCACTGGTGCACCCATGAAGCTACCGGGCCCTCAGGTGCCCCCACCCCACCGTCACAAGCCCAGACATGTCAGGACCTGGTTTTAAAAATAACTCCTGCTTGTTAATCAAGAAAAGCCGCCCCCAACCACTACGCCAAAAACACACACCGTCCTCCCTTGCCGATAATTATGTCAACCTGCTTGTCACACACCTTCATTTACCTGTTTTTTTAATGTTAGAATGTCATACAGGTTGGCAGACAGATGATTTCTGTGTTTAGCCACATAGACTTTGAAAAGACGCAGCAGTAATGTCTCAAAAGAGGCGGACTTGCTAATAAACGGCTGCAAGTTAAATTTGAAACGCAACAAGGAACTGCTTGGACACGCGCAGCTTGCTTGGAGATACAACTTCATTGTTTGCCAATCTCTTAATTGGTTATTGGCCTTATAGCTCCATTGAGGGAAACTCACTAATTTGGAGTGAGAGGCAGTGGGTGGTAATTGCAGACACTGTAGCCATAGATGTGTCATTTTAAGGTGTCCACCACACCTGAGCTGTATTGTTGGGTCGTTTTTGAACGATTCGTTAATTTTGAACGAACCTTTAATGTGACTCGGGAAGAACGAGTCGTCTCAGGGAATGATTCGTTCAGTCGCGCATGCGCAACATCCTATAGGTTCTGTACTGGAATTAGTCAAGTAGTTCACCTGTTTCGAGTCTTTGTTTTTTTCATCACATGACAGCCCCATAAGTTTAACCAATGCAGTCTGAGCCATAAAGAGAATTGATTAGTTCATCTCTCGAGTCTTCGGGTTTTTCTAGTCGTTCGTTCATCACGTGACAGCCCCATAAGCTTAACCTATGCAGTCTGAGCCGGAAAGAGACTTAATAATAATAACCAACTCTTTATTACCTTTGTTACAACATTCAGTGTTATGGAAATTCACACATTTATAAACCGTAAGAAGTAAAAAGCTACAATTTGAGATCAGATACGCATCACGTAACTGTAAGAGTAAATAATAATTATAATGATGATAATAATAATAACTATGCTCCCGTTTGTAAGGAAGCTTGTAAATTAACAAATTTTTCTATCCAATACTGTCACGTCACGTGACAAAAGAATGATTCGAGAGATGAACTAATCGATTCTCTTTCCGGCTCAGACTGCATTGGTTAAAGCTTATGGGGCTGTCACGTGATGAACGAATGACTCAAACCCGAAGACTTGTCAGATAAGAGGTGAGGTGAGCTAATCATAGACTGGTAAACAGGTAAACAATTAATTAATCTTTTCTGTTTCTTATAGCAGTTTTGTATTGTTTGTAATGTGATCAACGTTTGCGTAAGTAGTAGACGTGTTAGGGAAGTAACACGTAACATTTTAATTATATTTTGCTAAAATGAATGAAATGACTCGAAAAAAGATTTGTTCATTTTGCTGAACGAGACTCAAAAGTCTGAGTCAGTAAAATGATCCGAACTTCCCATCACTACTGAGCTGCCTGTTTTGTTCCCCGCCCTTCTCTTTTAGGAAGTGAGCATCGGTCTACAACTTCCGGATCCTAAAAAGCCATCATGTAGTATCGATTCCAAGTGAAATGGCAGTGCCTGCATATTTTAGGCCGTGGTTGGGATAATGAGCTCGGCCCTTTATTCCCATCGCCCGTCGCTCCTGGTGTTGGAATTAGCTTGAAGCAAGCAGAGCGGAAATCACTCTCAGCTTTATGAATGACATCCCAGAGGTGGGAACGGATTAGTCTTCTCCCTCTCTCCCTCAGTCTGTGTGTCTGTCTCTCTCTCTCTCTCACTGCCTCTACAGCACCAGGTGGCTTTTTTTCCGGGCACAAAGGTGTTTCGCTTAATCCCATTACGCTAGTGCTAAATCTCACAACATCAAAATCACTCCCACCACCACTAACCTTCATATCTCTTTGCTTCTCCCACTCTCAGTTCGCTTTCCGTCCGCTCCCTTTCTGAGTGATTGAAAAGGTGGCTTCACCTGAATGGAGGGAGAGATCTGCAGGCAGCTGCTGTTTTAGCAGTCATCATTACCGTTGCTGACTCACAGCGATTGCCAATCCTGATCCAATTTCGCCATGCTGGGTGGCCCCTTATTCCCTTGTCCAATAATGTGTCTGCTGGAAAAAATCCCACTGCTCCAAATCAAGTCTAATCCTAGCTGGAGACCTCATGTCAATCTTTTTCTCCAAAAGGGAAAAAAAAAACAAGACAAACGCATACATCTGGTCCCACCATAGATCTCTCTTTCTC